TGTGGCGCCTGATAGCAGAGATTTCAATGGTGGTCTAACTGGTAACAATGTGATTTCTTCTCGGCTTCTGTTTCTGTCCAATCAGAGAGTAACTGTACCAGATACCATGATAAATGTTCCACTAACGTTAGCGACTTCACATGAGACATCCTGAGCAACTTCGAATGCTGCTCTAATTCTCTAACTGAAGACGTAAAGGGTAGATGGTTCACCGGTATGACGCACGGCGATATGACTGGAAGCATAAATAACAGGAGAAACGTCCCGTGCACCTAAGGTGCAAACGCAAGCCTTTTCAACTAATGTGAAGGATAGTCAATTTTTATGCAACGGAACCACGGTGCAGTCAAGAATGAAATGCTCTAGATCTGTTTTCTACCTTTCAGCCATTCCGGTCCTGAAAACCCGACAGGAGCAAGTTCAGAGGCACATTAGCGCTCATCCAACCATTTTACGTAATATGCTCCGGCCAGTAGTGTTCATAGAACCAGTCAGAGAGCTATGCAAGCTTTTTCACCGTGTAAAGGCGGCATTAGAATACTTGGAAGGAAGTAAAGGAAGGTTTATAATCGCTGCAATGCCCGTCTTTCTTCCACTTTAACGACGGGGTCATTTTCTGCGCCGTTCTTTGCATGAATTTAATGGTACAGCCTTGCTCTCCGTTTCCATGACATCAACCAGAAGTGTCTTAATTTTTAAAGGCAGATTCAGCAACATGTCTGTGGCAAGCACAGCGTCTTCTGTTTCATTCCCACTGACTTGTATTAGTTTATCAACCTCAGGAAGGAAAGCAAGTGACTCCTACCTGGACTCACTCTGAACCACTTGGTTCAAAGTCTGACGCTCTACCAACTGAGCAACTGCGATCTGAAGCAAAGTGAGACCAATTTCTCGCTCAAGGGAATTTGTGGTTAAGACAAAGATTGCCCTTCGCCGGAATCGATTCGGCACCTCCGGGTATGAAGTACGATTTCATGACCTTGATAAAAAAACATTTACATTATGCCGTAATAGACTTATCTTCCGTAAGACTAACAACGCAAGAAAGAAATTCTCAGCAAATAAAAAGTGAACATAAATTGCAAAAACTAGTTACGTTATCAGTATCAGGCTCCGACTCGCTAGACGTACCGCGCAGCGGACGCGAACAGCCGGGCGACGTTGAAAACATCAGCTTTTCCTCGGCGTCAGGAGGGGATAACGGCTTAAGATCATTGGCAGTAGATCCCGGGCCTTCCGCCTGGAGCAACTCTTTGAAGAGGCGTTTTTCTTGAGAGATCATTTTGCAAGAGTAAGTTTCGAGGCTGCAACGAAAACTTTTAGCGGTTTCACTAGAACACCGTCGAAATCATACCGTGCATCAAGCAGACAATTTGCTTTATTCCTGCCCAAGGTTAAGCTCCACGATTCCAAGTTGGCATTTTCCAGATACTTCATGTTTACTTTTGTAAACTTCTGTAATCTGAATTACTATGAAAGATTTTTCTAGATTTTAAAAAAGAGTAAACAGTGTCGCAAGCAACAGAGGATCGGGTTCCAGCACAGATTTGCTGATCAGCAGAAACGAAATAAACGAACAAATCAAATCTGTACAAAATCTGATAATTCTTTGAGCAGCGTAAAACGGGACAACAGAACATAAAGTATTTCGAGAATCGGGAAGCAAATTCCCACAAAAGAGAAGTCAAACTTCAACTTCTACGCAGCTGTGGTATCATGTGACAATTCTACCGTAATGATAAAAATGCAGGTTGAGTTGTTATAGACGTACCGCAATAAATACGCCATTATATAGCGGTGATCCTTTAATAATCTAATAAGAAATCCTGTCGCTCCATTTACTCAGAGTATTGTTCGTTCTGCCCAAGCAAACGAGCCAGTAACTTTAGGGAGTAGTAGCTGCCTTCTCTCTAAGTGCATGGCTGACTGGTTGGATTATCAATTGAGGGATCTTTAGCTCTCGAATAGCCCTTAGTAGAAAAAAACATACTAAAATAATAAATACGAAAATGGAAAATCTGATTCCATCTGTAAAGATATCAGAAATAGCTTAGAAAATCAACTAAGCGATCGCAGAAGACTTCCGGACGCTCTATTTCCAGATGATCCAATACAAATAGAACTTAAATTCAAGAATCAAACGTTCATGACAAGTTACTGGGTAATCATTGCTTTCAGGTTCAAAAACAAGCTTGCCAAACTCATATGCAAAACGTATGTATTAAAATAAGAGGATACCATGATAGTCCGCGACCCAAAAGGAGAAGCGGCGATGGAAGATGAAGATGAAGGATACCATGATAGTATATCGAATAATCTACTCGCGCTAAAGTATAATCGAATATCCTTTGGACGACTTAAAAATCGGATCTTTGACAATAT